TGATCCTCACTGTGCATGGTTGGAGACACTACAAGATATGGCTGCCAACCGATGTCAGTGGCGTTCTTGTTGTCAGTTTCTGTCCAGATTGCCTGAGTGAATGTCTGGAGATGTAGGCACCTCGGAATGATTGTGTTAAGCTAGCACTAAGTCCCTCCCCCCATCCACCTTTCTTCTTTTCTTCACAATAAGGCTTTCAAATAAGTCATGGTTGTACGGCAGTGAAGCATCCATGTTGAACACTGATGTCATGCTGTCAATGATGATGATGATGATGATTACCCGCCAGTTGGGGCTTGCTCATTTAAAGTGATGCTATTCCCCGGGCACGTTTCCCGAAAAAAATATTCACTTGGTAGCTGGCTCACTGAAATTAGTTGTTTTGCATGGGAATCGGTCGGACATCTGAGTTTGTGCCATTTCTAGTCTGAGCTTGCCTTGAAACGCCTAATCGAATTAATCAGGACTATTTTGCTCGTATCATTTTCAGCCTTCATATTCCGGTATTGTTCAAATGTGTCATGTTCACCTTATGAACTTTGATCAGTCTGCTGTAGCTCTGCCAATGAAGTCATCGCGTAGCTGATCTTCAAACCGAATACCCTATTGAAGCTTTGACTCTTGGGTTTGAAGCTCGAACGAACTGAGTTAGTGAATTGGATTCAGTCCATCCAGCGGCAACAGAGTTGATTGGTTTAGAATAATGCTTCTGTATGACATACTGACATGCATGGCTGGAAGAACACGTGCATAAAGTTCATCACTTTCCCCTGTGAACAGTCCCCGATTCGATCTAGCCCTCATGTTATTCGTTCCGTTTTCTTGTTTTCCAGTTAAAGACAATTTGGCGCATGTTCCTAACTAAACGCTGGTTTACGGACTTAAGCTTGCCTAGACAATTAGTTGAGGGCATTGTAGTCTTCCTGGAAATCCTTGTATTACCTAGCTTAAATGAGGGTGTATTCGGTTGTGGATCAGTGCTCGCACTGGTGGTGTCCTCACGGTTGATGAGCGGACGTGTGGAAACGAAGTGCCAACCAAACAGTCAACAGTCACACGATCTACAACCGATTAACACACCAAGAGGTGTGTTTTTCTCCAGGAAGCTTCCTTGTTAGTCTAAAAGTTCACAGCTCCGCCACGCAGTCTGTCATTAGTTGTGAGGCCACTTTAGGCAGCTATCCCTTTTATGTTTCTCTGTTTTCAGATCGGATATTGGATTCGAGGGGAGCTTGCTAAACTTTCGTCTGGTCCGGATAAGGCGTCAACAACTGAAGCTTCGCGATCATGAACTTACCTCATCAGAGATGTACGCAGGATTTCCGATTATTTTTAATTCTTTTGATTTTTTCAATGGTTAACTTTATTTACTTGATAACATTTTACCAGTAAACATCTGCGTGATAAATGTACTCCGTGGGAAAGGAACAAAGATGCACATATGGAAAAAAGGTTTACCAAATCCCACCGTCTCTAATGGTTGGGAGTGTTATGTTCTCTACTAATCAGTCAATCAACCTTGTCAGTTGCACACGAAATTGAGAAGACAAAAAGCCTTGAGGAATTTATACTGCGGCAACTGAACAGCCAATATCGAAATTCGAAGAATCAGGAATGGAATGGAACAAATAGTCCAATGAAAGGCTGAAATATATAGAGAGAAATGTGAGCAATATGTTCGTAGGAGGAGTGCTTCCTAACAGGGAGACAGGTGGCTTTTCAGATGCACGAAGGTGGGTCCCACCAACAGATCTGGTAGGTTTGTTCGAGCTCATATTATTTTGTGGAATCTCACTGTGCTAGCCTCTGGCATCATGTGAAGTGTGGATGTTTTGCCAAACACATAATTGTCCCCCACTAGAATACGTGAAGAAAAATGCAGCGAACACTACATTTCTGCGTTCTCTCACTTTCCAGTCGATGACATTGGTGTCTTTCGCACCATATAAATTTCTGGGCCATCGGTACTGACATTTCTGACTTTCTGCTCAAAGTGTGAACAAAACATGGTCGAAATTACGTACAACTTGGATTCCTGCGTGGTGGTGTGCGGGACGAGAGTGAATACACACACTGGTAAAAGGTGAAAGCAGACATTCCTCGGTATCTGGTTCCTGAGCATGACAGCCATAAAAATCACTTCAGCTAGGTGAACAATGGATGGAAATTAATCCGCACTTTAGACTCTGAGCATGTGCTATTCTTGGACAAGTTTTAATTCGTTAGGCAATTAGTTAGTGAGTTTTGAATTCACTGCCAGAGAGATGTTTTTGACTTGAACTAAGGGGGGAATGGATTTACCTAAATCAGTTTGTGAATAGACGGTATGTTAATCCGTGAGCCGTTTTATTCTTCGTCGGACGTCACATGGGGTAACTGGCGTCCTTATTTGTTTACGATCATAAATGAGCATGATATGCACGTTCTGGTGATGCATTCCAACCAGCACGGACTCAGACCCACTCACCCAAAGCCAAGCAGGTCGCATTGGCTTCCAATATCAGTAAAACTACAGTAGAAGCCGTTCGCCCTGGGTGAGTGATCCTGATGAGCGTCCGCATACTTGAGTTTGTGCTAGTCGAAATGTAATATGAGGACATGTTCAAAGATGCTCACATTCGCTGGTAAACGAGCAGTCAAGCGAGTTGGTGTGTTTTTCACGAAACTAGTAGTCGATTTCAGAAGGATTTGAAACGCAATTGGTGGGCAGTCTTGTACTCCCTACTTCCTACTAAGAACTCCAGATCATCAATATGAACTAAAGAGACAATGAACAAGCACGAACAGTCATCGAAAGTTTCGTAGACAATATCTAGCACAAACGCTAGTGATCAGATCCAAGCCGCCGAATGACCTGGTAATGCTATGTGGGAGAAGACGGTCAGGTCGGTTAAGATTTCGCCGATTCTTCCGCTTTCAGTCATTCAGCACATCACGGCTGCGCAGCCCACTGGGACGGTGGGCTTGGGAATCGTGTATGTGGTGTGCGAACTAACCGCAATTCGTTTAGTTGTAGACGGTTGCGGAATTTGCAGGATTCGTGTTTGTATGAGCAGTCCTCCTGTTCTGACGTAGTCATTCCGGTGAGTCCACACCAAGCACTGGACTCGTGCCTCGCTCTTGTTGGAGCCCGTCAGCAGAACACATCTCTGGCCAGTTCGCGGCCTGAACTCCGGACATGTGACACATGCGAGGGGAGCATGTTTACCACTACCCCATCAGCACTTGTTAGACTCACCTAAATCACCGCGATATGCTCATCAAAATGTAATATGAGGACATGTTCAAAGATGCTCACATTCGCTGGTAAACGAGCAGTCAAGCGAGTTGGTGTGTTTTTCACGAAACTAGTAGTCGATTTCAGAAGGATTTGAAACGCAATTGGTGGGCAGTCTTGTACTCCCTACTTCCTACTAAGAACTCCAGATCATCAATATGAACTAAAGAGACAATGAACAAGCACGAACAGTCATCGAAAGTTTCGTAGACAATATCTAGCACAAACGCTAGTGATCAGATCCAAGCCGCCGAATGACCTGGTAATGCTATGTGGGAGAAGACGGTCAGGTCGGTTAAGATTTCGCCGATTCTTCCGCTTTCAGTCATTCAGCACATCACGGCTGCGCAGCCCACTGGGACGGTGGGCTTGGGAATCGTGTATGTGGTGTGCGAACTAACCGCAATTCGTTTAGTTGTAGACGGTTGCGGAATTTGCAGGATTCGTGTTTGTATGAGCAGTCCTCCTGTTCTGTCTGACGTAGTCCGGTGAGTCCACACCAAGCACTGGACTCGTGCCTCGCTCTTGTTGGAGCCCGTCAGCAGAACACATCTCTGGCCAGTTCGCGGCCTGAACTCCGGACATGTGACACATGCGAGGGGAGCATGTTTACCACTACCCCATCAGCACTTGTTAGACTCACCTAAATCACCGCGATATGCTCATCAATCAACTGGAAAAGGTTTGGAACCGATTTAAAAGTCATTGTTTCAGAAGGGCTTTGTAAACAACCGGTAGTTTTTATTTGGGCAAGGTTTCGCTTCTGCCACAAAGCTTCATCAGGCCAAGTTAACAGGTCACCAAGTTGACCAGGCAGACAAGGAACCAATTATCACACTAGATCAGTGTTGTGTGTCCATTAACGGCTCTTGTCGGCTAGTGTGGTTGCGAAAATGTTGAATTGATGGGTTGAAGGAGTTTCAAATTATTCCCGATCGGCTCTTGTTCCTTAATCTTACACTTCAATTAATGATTCACCTCGGGTGCCAGTGGTAGACTTTCCTTGGTCTTCGTGGGCTTGTGAGTGTTGCGACGATTTAGTTGGAAGGAGGGGGATGGGTAAGGTTAAGTGGAATCCAGATGATGACTACTCTTCCTTCTGATAATCGCACACCGACACCTGTTAGCTCGATTGACCCAAAACCGTTCTCCACACGCTTGCCGGTTCCACGCCTTCTATTCCGTTAACATGGGAATGCTTGGCGCTGGTCGGAACTAATTTGAAACTCCTTCAACCCATCAGTTCAACATTTTCGCAACCACACTAGCCGACAAGAGCCGTTAATGGACACACAACACTGATCTAGTGTGATAATTTGAAGAGGACTTACTAATTGGTTCCTCGTCTGCCTGGCCAACTTGGTGACCTGTTCACTTGGCCTGATGAAGCTTTTGCGGCAAAAGCGAAACGTTGCCCAAATAAAAACTACCGATTGTTTACCAAGCCCTTCTGAAGCGATATGATTAGTTTGTCAGACTCCTGCAGCGACGACACAGTAGATGTCGTGATTGTGACGATCGATCGATTGACTCGCCTGTCAGGATTTTCTAGTCAGGTAGCGCCACGAAAGCTTGAAACCTGCTGGACAATATTTTTAGTTGTTTAGGTGTGGGATTTGTGGAATTCTCACTCACATCATCCTCGTTTGAACGGTCTGCCTCCGGTCCCTACGAAATAAGGTGAATAGCACTGGACTCGAATTTCGCTCTTATTAAAAGGGTCTGTACTGATCAGACTAGTTGCACTCCTCAAATGAGAGTGAGGAGGGCGCGAATTCCACAATTTGGTTGTTTCATCCCACAATTTTGTCCAGAAGGAAATTGTACAGGTACCTCCGTCCGATCAGCAACTGTGTCACGGGTGCCTAGTCTCGCAACACAGCACTTACTTCAAGTGTTCTGTTTTCAATTACATCATGCCTATTCATCCGAGCTCTTTTCACGCGCAAAAGCGAGGGTGGTGTAAGTGGAGTGTAGGTTTGGTATAGGAGGCGCTGAGTTCTCAGTAAGAAAAAGATGATTAATTGTGGACCAGGAGGAACTCTGTTGCTGCAAATCCTCTGCAGTTGCTTCCTCAGGAAGATGGACAACGGGTTGATGGAATGGTATCGATTTGACCAACAATATTCCAACCTAACCAGTGTGGTTCGCACGTCGCTGGGGTGAGCGCAGACGCGCTGTCCATCAAGATGTAACAAGGGCGCCGTCGACATCAACTTGAGCGGAGTCATAACCAAATTCTAGATTACAATTACCACACCTGTTTTCTGCGCAAACAGGTTGCACTTGAAGAATGCTTTCTTAAAAGTGAGATGTGTCACATTAGGACGACGATCTGGAAGATCATAACGAAGGATGTTCAGAATGCCCCAAAATCGACATTTCACTCCGACTGAAGATGGAACAAATTAAGCTTGACCTCAAGGAAGTAGGCTAAAGTAGACTAACCGGAGTTAACCTCACTGTTCCCAGGAGTGATTGAAAAACTGATCAGAATTATTCCATATGGAGAACTGTTTCTCTGGAGAGACAGAAACGATAAAGCAGATAATGAAGATTTGACACCGGATGATGTATGTGGAGCACACTTTTTTGAAAACACCCACGTTCAAGCATAGCTTTATAACCGAAAGACTGACAATGGGCACCCTCAACACGATTTCAGTTTTGGCACCTGCCTGGCTGATAAGTAACCGGTTGTATAGAATGAATACTGCATTGCATGTTCCCAGTGAATAGTTGATTTGTCTACTGCGGAGGTAGGCGAGCCATACGTGTGTTTGCTCACACTAGTTAAACGTAAAGATCCATGGCTGTCATCCATGTTCATCCCCACCATTGTATCTACACTGAGGGTAGTTGAAGTAGACTTTAGGCTTATAAGCCGCGAATTAGCTTGCGACTGATCCATCCCCACTGAACCGACGCATGTTTACAGGCTTTCGTGTAAATCAAGTAAAAAATAAACCGTCCAGCTGTAGCACGCTTTTGGTGCCTACCTGCATGCCGATGGAAGGAGGCACGAGGGCTGGAATACTGCCGGGTTGCGCAAGCCTAGACAGGAGCGGTTGAGATGCTGAGGTTAGGTTCGAACCACGGACCCTCCAGTCCGTAAGCTGGTGCCTCAACTATTGAGCTATACCGCCTGTTTTCAGTGAATGTGGGGCGACACCAGGCTGCTCTCTGTCAGTAGTCAGCCCACCCTGTTCACGTTTTGTCGTGATGAAATATTCCTCAATATGTAGAATACCACTTACACATGCGGCATGTGTAGCTAACCATGCCCGAAAATCTGATTAATTACTAGCTTTGCGGTGAGAGTTCTTTCCCGGTGCCTCTAAAGAACCTACACTTGTTAACAGCTGTCATCATTGTGAGTTAAGTGTTTTTTATTGTCCTGTGACCGTTCCTTGGCCATTTGTTTCAAATTTAGATGACGCTGGGGATTCGGTCCCTCAGCTTGCCACCCGCGTCCGTGAGCATTGTTAGGAATACTTGCCAGGTAACAGCACAGGATCCCTTAGCAGAACCACTTTTGCTCATCAGATCGACACGGGTCATAGGGGAGATACGAATACTGCTTGCAAGGTTATACATGTAGTTTGTCTCCACCCGTCCAACTATAGGCGCGTGTGCTTCGTGGAAACGCTTGAGCTTTCTCAAAGTAGTTTCTCCTCACCGTCACTATGTTCATCGATCGTTCTTGGATTCATATCACTGGCTTAAGTCATCAGCAAGGTACCATATCTGTAATTTAGCGTTGCATCGAACCCACACGATCGTACTTGGCCAATGCGAGTTCTGAACTGCACCTCTATGGGGTGAACAGCTGACCCATCGATAACCACGATACTTCTTGAGATGATGAAAAAATGGCGGGCTAACCAACTTGGTTCGCGAAGAACCTAACAGACTTATTTTAACCATGAAACCTGTAAAATAGACACGATTATATAAGGAGATCTAGTCAGGTTAGCTGAGCGGAAACTACATTTAGGGAGACATTTGGTAAATGCCTAGGGCAACAGGGCAGTCCGTGCATTTCTCACTGACATTAACGACTGAAATGCAGTTAACAGTTGTGTTGGTACTGTGCGGTTGCCTAATCTAATAAGGACGAATGCAACTTGACGTGACGTGTTTGTTTGTTGTGTCACCATACGCTTCGGAAAGGACAGCTCCTAAGCTCAGAAACAAAGCTCGTCACGGATAACCCGTTCTGTGAGTCGGATGGCTAAGTCCTCATAAAACCCATCTTGGCGACCGATTCGGGTTTGAAGCTCACCGCACGGATAGTGGGGAACAAATTCCTCAGTTGGATGCTGAACATTTTTCTGGCTAGCATGAGCAGTCACACCGTGGGAATGACTTGGAAGCACATTTGGACTGATCCGTTATCTAGCTGTCTTACCCGACACTGAACACAGTACCTAACGTCTTTAAACTAGTCTGTTTTTGGGACAACTGTCAGATGGTTCGCCTTTGTACACAAGAGACTTTCGGCTACAGCAGCTTCCCATACTGTAGCCTAAATAGGAGAAACCGCTTTGGGGGGATCTTGAACTCTTCATACTACTTTCGGCTTGAAATCCGCTAATTTTCGCCTCTGGATGTTTGAATCGCCCTTGAAGGCACGCCTATGTGCTGTGTTATGTGGTCTATTATAACGTGTCTGTGGTGAACCAACAGAGTGATGTAAACCGATGCAACCAAGGAAACTGTTATGGGTCTGTTTGTAGGAACGTTTGAGCGAGACTTATCGTTCTTTAGCGCCTCAGGCAGCTTCCTGAGATCGTTCACTTTTGTGCCGACACTTAAACAAAGTGGACTGTAGGCTGTTGAAAAGCTAAGAAGCACCGTACAGCTGTTTCATCCTCATTGAGAATCGTCAGTCGTGCGTATAACACCAAGCTGAAGCAGTTTTGGGCCCGCAGACACACTCGACTTGTAGTTGAATACTAAACCATTCCGTTGCCAGGGTCTGATCAGTGTGATTAACGGGCACTCTGAGGGAATATGGTTCCACTCATCTTTCTTTCACGGGATTCATGCCACATCTCAGGATAACCAGCATTTTTGACAACCCGCATTGTTCAACGATGTAGGTTTCGTTTGAATATTTTTGTCTAAAAATCAATGACTGTTTGAGTTGCGATAGAATTGATGTACACGAATTGGCGTTAGGCTTTGCATGACTGCTAGCAGAGTGGGTCATACAGTGCTCGAAAAGCTCATCGCGTCGAACGAATCGGGCTTCATCGCTACTGCGTGATTAGCACAGAAGTTTCCAATGGGTCGGTTGTGCGGACAACTGTTGTTCATGCATCATCGGCCACACCCGGTGGTACGTTCGATTTGTAAGCCTTAAGGCTAGCAGCACTAGTAACATGAAGCGCATCCAAGACATGCCGTCGGCTCAGTTGGACTAAACAGTGTGGTAGCGTTCGCAATCACAGAATGCTGAATAGGGTTGATGTCTTGTATGTATATGCGCAGGTGCGTACGTCGGAACATTTACGATAGCAACCGCGTAGTCCAATGCCAATCGCAAGACCAAAAGTCTGACTTTATTCGGTTACTTTACTATGGGACATTTGTCTACAGCTTGAAACATTGTTCTGTGTACCTCTCAAGAAAATGAGTATCGCATGGCACTTTTACTCACACACGATTTTCTGCGGAAAACTCAACGATCGATGGAAGTTTGACAGTCGAGTCTGAGAAGTTGCGTTTGAAAATCGAAATTCAGTGGTGCTCGGTGGACGAAAATTCGCTAATCTCAGCGTAAAAGCAACAATCACCCAACTTGTTTGCGGGCCGATGACAGCCACACTCACGAGGTAATGAATAGATGTGTCACGGTCCATCTACATCACATCCATCAGCCTATCAACTCAAATGTAAGTGAAGTGTGGTCACCCTAGAAATGCGTGGATGGTTAAAGTCCTGTTCAGAGATGGTTCATTCAGTCGGCCTATGGTTGGACGGGCGTGAAAATTTTACATTTTTCTATAATACCGGGGCATACAAAAATTGGAAATACCCGCTATTCAACTGTACTTGCTGTATAACCGCAAATGAACTAGCTAAGCAGGGGCAGATACAGAAAGATTTTGCTGGCCTTTGTGAACCAAGTGACCGAAGGCGGGATGACCGCCAAATTCACAAACTTTGCTTAATGAAACCAGTTAGGTCTATCTGCATACACTGTAAACCACGATGAGCGACTCATCCTAGAGAAGGTCTAGTTTTTGTTCTGCTTTTGACGCTGAAGGTATTGAGGACAACTGGTACAGATAACAGATAACATTATGCAGCTCAGAAGTGTCTTTGCTAATCAGTGTAGAAAGCCGAATGTTTGAACAATTTGAAAAACGTTCTAACGTGTCTCAAAACTTCCGACCTATTCAGGTCATTCATTAGTTGATAAAACAGCCCGCATCAGCTTGAAAGTGATAAAGGATGGTGCCGTTATATCGGTAGGTGCTATGACTTGGGCACATCGTAGTGGCCTATGAGGTGACAGTGCTGTTGAAGACGTGTAGATATCATGACTGCTAGTCACGTGGAGACTGGATGTGAAAATATTAGTCACCTGAAGAAATGCCTTAAGGCCGCTTGTTTCATTTGTCGTGGTGATTCTATGATTACATAACACGGGAATCAACAAATCAGATAGAAACATGGAAGCACTCGAACAAACTGCAAGTGGTAAAGCGTCACAAAAGTGCCAACATGACTGATTTTAGTCACGTTCATATATAGTGGATACCTTTTACAGTCGATGAGGAGGAATACCAATGGATCAGAAAAATGTCAGTGACGAATGGCGAGAAGCCTACGATTCAGTCAGACAGTTTATAGGGAGTTTGGTTTTTTCCTTTTTAATGGAGGAGCGCAACATAATCCAACAGACCACAAACGATAGCAAATTATGACGACGATCTCAAAAGAGAACACCCCAATGCATTTCCTTCTGGGAAATTACCGAACTTGATTGAGACGGTGGAAAACAAATTGAGACGAAACTAAATTCTGACAGACACTCACCGGTTCTGGCACTGATGAAACCATTCTCCGGGAGGATGCATCAAAATGGCAATGCACTTTCCTACTTGTCTGGATATACATTGTCGATCGTCACACGAGAATAACTAGTGCCTCTAACACCTCAGATGTTGTACGGTTACGCTACCGCCGTCCATAATGTTGGTCAGTGGTGCAGAAAAGCATTTTTGAGCACTTAATAAGAGGTTAGACGATGGGACAAACCAACCCACGACACATCACTACTTGTCAATCTACTCACATTTACTGGTGTCGTAAGGTTAGACCACATCACCACATTAATTCTCATCTGAACCTGGCAAACCGGCAGAAAAATGATTTCATCGGTCCGAAGCATGGGCACCAACGATAAGCATGCACGTACTGCATTAATGCTGATGCACCAAAGTACCTCAATTCCACATACAGAAGGTTGAAAAGACAACCTAGCTTCTGTCGCTGAAAAAAACCGGAGTCCTAGTTAGCGAGGTGAGGAGAGAGCACACAGGATCTTTTACATCTTTCAATTCTGAAGATTTTCTTTGTTAGATACTTGATATCAGTTTAGGGTGAAAGAACACTTCTATAGGGAGGCAAAAACGTCGTTCGTCCATCTGAAGTGGCTACACTGCGTAATGGAACGTTTAGGAACTTAAATGAGGATAGTCTATTCGTGGATCACTCAGTAGTACTAGCAGGTTTGTTTTACAGCTTCATATCAAATTTATGGACTTAGTTTCCACTGCTGAAATCCATGTCATCCTTTGATACCCGTCCCTCGTTAGTTTCGTTATGGAAGGTTCACCCACGAACGCGGTACCGGAACACACTGCTTTTTTCCGGTGTATTATCCCAACCAGACATTTATCTACAAGTTTACAACAAAAGTGCAACTGTACGGCGAAAATTTGTTGAATATTCGGGCTGATAAAGAAATCTAGTGAAGATGCATGATCAAATATGGTTTCGGTATAAAAATAATGGGGGTAAAAGCGGGCGCAGTGGTTGAAAACCCGTTCATCCTCAGCAGCCCAAACGCCCAAGGTGGAATAGATGCCGCATAGTTGGTCTCCCATGAGGACAGTTCTGTAAAGATGTATTCAGAGTTGATATATTGGTATACTTATAAGTGATAAACACGGTGTTATTAATGAGCGGGCTGGCCGACTTACCCAAGGATGCACCATGGTTCCCATGTTACGAACGATCTGTGGGGAAGTTGAACAAAAGAATACCAGCTAAGGTGTACCGCGCACACAAAACCATCCTATTAATTAAGTGGTGAAATGATACAGTATGTGGTGTGACAAGGAGAGAAGCGTGGAAGAGACCGGTAACCTACCCTCTGCATTTTAGCATGATCAAGAGCAGTTCCAATCATTATTGCAGAACGACAGGCGCGGGAGGCGAGAATTGTGCGCAATCGAGATGGTCGGCAACGACGAGACTGGAGATAAAACGTTCAGCAATAAAGACACTCAGAAATTGCTTCACGCATGGAATAAAAGGGATTGCAGTATCTCAGTTTTTCCAATGAACGAGATAAAGGTAATTTATCAGACATGAGATGTTTCCCATCGACGGATTGTTCGAGCTGGCATAGTTTAGTGGCACCATATTACATATGGATATTTCTGTAAATACAATAGTCTACCCTATGAGAAGACCAGAAGCCGAAAAAAATACTAACTAAAAGCAAACCTTTTCCTATCAAGATGGTTTCTCAATGCGAAACTCTCAAAAAGGAAGAAAACCCATATTGGCGTCAATAAAAGTCCTGTGGGGAACTGCTGCTCATGAACAATCAAAATCGCGAGAAATAATCTTGTGAGAATTCGGTTTGGATGAGATTAGTCTAACGGGAAAGGACAAATTTGCTGGCATGTCTTTCAAAACAGAGCCTGGTTTGTCGCTATTTCTGTGACCCTTAGTATCTGGCCTCAAGCTAGTTACAAAAGCAACTATATTGCCATTGCTATAATAGTGCAATAGCAGTATCCGCAAAGAGGCTTTCAGATCAAACTGGTACCCGGTTTGCAGAAAGTAGTTGGGCTAATATGGAGCAGAGTCACAGTTTGACCTTCGACCTCTAAAGGATATCTGCGCTAATCTTGGAAGACTACAACGAGGTGTATGCGGTCTGCAAATTGTGTAAGTGTCTCCGTAATTACAAGACAACCGATAAAGTGCTTGAGTGACAGAGGATTGTTCTACAAAGTTGCGGTTGCACTTCGTTGGGTTTCTCTACCTCGATGTAACCGCAGTTGTGAGGACAGTTAAGACATCAGGACAGACTAGCATCTATCAAACGCATAGCTGAACACATACCATGTTGCAATCCTCAAACATTAGAGCAATCGCTTCCTAAAGTTTGAAGGCGAACGTATTCTTGCTTCATCTGTGACCGAACATTCACTGTAAACCTGGTAGATCCGAAGGCTCCGTTCCGAATGCTGTTACCCCGTTCAGATGTAACACCCTTTCAATGCTTAGATGCACGAGGGCTGATAATATGTAAGGTTGCCCAAGTCTAGACAGGAGCAATCGAGATGCCGAAGTCGGGTTGGCACCAGGGACCTTGCGGTGAGTGAGTTCGCTGTAACCACTGAGCTATACCGAGATCAGCGAGGATTAATCAATAAAAGTTCACAATATGGTGTTTGGATTTAGAGTGCACACTTCCACGACTGCGATGCAAGCGTATATGCTGCTGCGAAGTCATCGAGTCCGATTACGTAAAACCCCGCTAATTGCCCAGTGATCGGTGGGCAAAGTTACCCGATTAGCAACAACACGAGTAGGCAAGTTATACTGCGTCACCTCTGGTAAAGGATAAATCCGCGTGATGGAAGTGTCACAATAAGTCGAACGAAGTTCGCCAACTCATGCGTTAGAACTTCATAACGAAAGTCAGGCCAACTGCCATCGATCCGTTGGTGGGTATCATCATGGACAATGGAACAACCTTGCTCGTTTGCGTACTAGCAACACCTGAGAAAGCGTATGCAGACGACTGATTACTTTCTGAATTCCACTCAATAGGCCAGGTGGCTGTTCCTATCTAGTGACACAAGCTGACAGTGAAAAATTAGATCAGGAGCGATCGAATGTCGGCACTCAGACAGTGGACACAAGCACGTGTGATAACCTAGGTACCCCCCACTCCACGAGTTTGTGCGACTATGCGCAACCCACTGGGTCGACAGGTTGAGCGATCATGCACGTGGTGTGAGACAACTACACTGCGTTTAGTTGTAAGTAGTTGCGGAATTTGTGAACTCCTTCTCTTGCTATTACCTACATACTTTACATATCAAAAGCACTACGTTCGGATTGATCGAACGTGGCATGCTTCAGCCTGTTTTGTGACGTTTCTTGTCCGTTTGGTACAAGGACCCTACAGGCTCACGGCTAATGTATACTTCTGTTGCCAGAACAAGTCCTGCACTAATGGATGCTCATTCATTCAAAGCCGCAAACTAATGGTTGTCTTTTCTAAGCCATGTTAATTCGAATATCCGAAATTTTTATTTCCGTCACTATTTTACTGATCAGTAAGTTTCCAGATGTAGGACGCTACCGGCGCACAGCTGCCATGAAAGTCAAAGGAAACATGAACGCTGGAATACTGCCAACTTGCCCGAACCTGGACGGTAGAAATCGAGAAGCCAGAATTGGGTTCAAACCAGGGACTCTCCGGTTAGTGGTTTCGCGCCTCAATTATCTGGAGGTATCTGGAGCATTACCGATTGTTGTAGGTGGTTGTGAAATTTGTAGTATTCACATCAATCTCGTTTGAACAGTCATGCTCCTATCGCGGCGTACTTTTCTTCTGAGTCCCAACCAAAGGGCAGAAGCACTGGACTCAAGTTTCGCTCTTATTAGAGCTCATTAGGAGAGCATATCCGTGGCTGTGCCGGCTTTTGAGTCCTATGTCTCTGGCATACGGGGCGAACGTGTTACCACAACTCCACCGGCTCACACTAGAAGCATCTGAATTTTCACATATGTACATGCGAACGTCTTCACGGTTTGGCATGCGATTGGCATGCCCGACGACGACCTAGTAGTGACGATCGATTGATCTGGTTGTCAGGACTTCCCAGCCAGGGGGCGCACGAACGCTCGAAACCCGCTGGACAATTTCTGATTTTGTTGTAGGTGGCAGCGGGACTTGCAGTGTTCACGCTCACTTGACAAATCAGATATCGGAATTTCAAACGCCGGCACAACCAGGGATGATGAGCTCTAATAAGATTGAAACTCAAGTCCAGTGCTCCCCCCTTTGGTGTGGACTCAGCAGAATACGTAGGCCAAAACAGGAAGACTGTTCAGACGAGGGTGACGTGAATTTGGACATTGTTCACCTGACACATTCAGCGGACTTTTGAGAAGGGACCCTCATCAAAAGATGAACTCATACTCATTTTCCGTTTACTTTCCTGATGAATACGGGGGTGGAATATTCGCACAATTCTTCTTATGACGAATTTTTAACATTCCTTCTGTGACACCGCTTGTGCAGTACTCGTGCAAGGTTGTGCAGAAGAACTCCTAAAAATAGAAACCATTGTCCCCTATCTCGCTTGCTTGCTGACGTAAAAAGCATGTTTCGAAGCTGACCATTTAGACCCAACAAGTGCTGTAAGCGCTCTTCCTGTACGTCCCTATTTTCAAGATCTGCTATCCAGTCTGTGCATCTATGTATATTTCTCTAATAAAGCACAAATACGCCAAACGAGCAGTTAGTACAAGCAATGACAGATGAAGGATGTAACATGTACATTATCACACAAATAGTCCTCACTGCCTTTGCGCAACGACCCACACAAATTCCGACAAAAACCTCTATTTGAATAAGTTCCGGTTTCATGCCAACGAACCACCGGTGTTGTTGCCGAAGCTGAGTTCGACGTGAAGTTAAGTCAAAGCAGACACCGTGATGCATTGATAGCTGGGAACCTTCAGAATGACAGGCTGTGTTAATGATGAACATATTGTCTGAAACTTCCATCATCATATCAAAAAATCAACGTGTGGCAGACAATGAGTTTCCGGTATGAAGGATGCACGTGTTCGAAAATTTGTCTACGCAGTTGAGAAATAGATGAGTTTCAATGAACTACAATGAACTGTGTGGACAAGCAAGAACTCATCGATATTCAACAAAAAGGACACCGCAAACTCACACAGCTTTCTGAAAGAACAAACAACATCTCTTCAATGTCTGGAAAAGAGGATGGAAAAAGCATTATCATGAAGCGGATGGAACCAGGTTAGAAGTAGCTAAGGCGAACGAGTGGACTTGTAATCGACTGGTCCCTTATAAACCACGACATCTGTACCATTCGGTCGGCTGTTTTATTCGCGGTATTATCATATAACAGATACGAACTGATAGGTGCCGGCCAAGTGACAAGACAGGGAGTTTTTATAGAAATTCCACCATAGAAGACGTTGGACACTATGTAAAATAAGACTAGATATGGACGTAACAGACTATTCATAAGGTTGCTGAAAATTCTTCGACAGCAACCTTATGAGTAGTGCATTACGTCTATACATGCATCGTGATATCTCGAATATCTTATCAGCTGAAACATGAGACGGCCTGGTGCAGCACATTCAGTCGCTTAGAAACAGCATAAACGAGAGATTCAGCTGGGTTCCCGGTGAGTCTCTCGCAAAAATGTTTTTTGCAAATGAGTGTAATTCGCTAGAGACTAGGGATGGTTACGATCAAGAACAATCTTATCCAGGCCAAAGGCAGACATGTTAAGTGCCCCGTTCCAACCGACCTCTGTTATCTTGCAAGAAAAAACCACTTCAATCCATTCATTTATGTCCATTTTGAAACGCAACCAAACGAAATCCGCCTAAAAGACTTCAACTGAAAGACCATTCAACTTAAACTCACACAGAACACAGCCTTGGCTCTCTATACACGATACATCCAATAGATGATGCCTAGGTGACAAGGATGCATACCTTCCATTGTTCAAAGAATACAACTTTTACATGTTTGTTTGTTGAAACTTGGATGGCTGGTTGACTAAATGGAGATTACTCTTCCAGAAGTAAAAACAAATCAGTCGATCAGACGATGTGATATTGCGTCGACTTTGGAAGCAGGTATTCGAACAAAACGGAAAATATTAGCGTACCTAAATGGAGAAACGCATTCAGTTGAAAACTAATGTGGTTGCGATAGGAGACTGGACTGAATCCTAGCTGAATTTTGTGTTCAAGATATTCTGTACAAAGGTCGCCTCGAGTTCCGGTTGGCACGACATTCAAGTTTATTTCCTTGAAAGAACATACTGAGAAGGGTGGTGAAAACTCGAGCCCACGATCAGCTTCACCCTTCTTTTGGCTCATCAGTTAGGTGCAGGCTTCGAGTTTCCTTCGAGTCATCCTTGTTTCACGTAAACTCAAAGTGTAAGAAATTCGCGAAAAACTTATTCGTTAACAAATTTGGTCTTAACAGGAAACACAACGGAATCCCAGCTGAGTCTTTTATTGATGACATGCTCCGACTGCACAAAGGTCACCTTGGTACGATATCGCATCCTGGTTGCAAGAGTGTACTTCGTCAATTGCATATAATTGGGTGTTTAGGTAGAACATAAGGTTGACGGAAACAAAGAGGGCCCAAAAGGTGAAACCGGTCGTGAACTGTCAATGAGTTTCCAACAGATAATTGGGTTCTAGGTAGAACATAAGGTTGACGGAAACAAAGAGGGCCCAAAAGGTGAAACCGGTCGTGAACTGTCAATGAGTTTCCAGCAGTGTAGTGCTTTAGCGTCAGTGTATAGATTTGGATTTCGTTCCATTAGTTAAACAGTTTAAATAATACATGATTGTGTGAAGGCTATTCCGATTTGTCCGCTACGGAAGGGCAGTAGGCATTACTGATTTTCGGTAACGACTGGACTAGTCTAATATGTATAAATGTTGGACGGACTATATTCAGCACTCTTATAGAGGCGCTAATTCATCATCGTCGTCCGGCTCTGTTGTTACAGAGTTGCGCTTCATGAACAATTCTTGGCTCACAGAAAGTTAACAAACTCTCAAGAGATGATAAGAGAATGAAAATAATTCGGTGTCTTTATACATAGACCTACTACAGACGCTTGAGGTCTACTTTTCACAGAGATCACCTGAACGTCCGAAACAACCTATTGCAGGAGACTCAAATACGGATCATCTCTGGTCAAGCTACTTGATGCAATTGCTTCGCTTCTTCGCCAAGAATAAAGTTAGACATTTTACTGACGCGTGCCGAAACAAGTTTTTGTATACTATTTGGAGATAATTCACCTTCATCCTCTCCTTTAGGGTACACGCCTGTCCTACATACGGACACTCACATTGTTAGATGCGTTTCTCTATATTTTCACCTCATTCTGAATGAAGTGAACAGAAGAATCTTACCAGATAAGCTGGAACCCACCGGTTATACTTCAGGCCTTTACTGGTTTGTTGAGGAGTGTTTCATACTCGTACAAAGGAACTCATGCATGGACCCATTTCTCCTTTGCCGTGTAACACTAGTATATGTCAAATAACCGTTCAAGAGCTCTTCCCTGTCGCTTGTAAAGTACACTGAAAAGTTCTCTTTCTTGGTCCTTTAATCTTGGCTTTCCATCTACAAACATAAGCGATGAATTTTTATCGTCCCCTGACCATAGCAGCTATGTTTTGATTCTATTAATGTACGAAAAGCAAAAGAACACAACTAATGGCGAGGACTAAACCTTTCTGCAGTACAGTCCATCAATCCCACACTGTGCTTGGGCAAATAACCTGATTGACCTACAAGTTTGGCGACCCCGATTCGCAAGTTCATCTTGGCGAATGAGCTTGTTATGGAAAAAATCTTCAACGCCTATAGTGGTGTTTGATACCAAAATGCTCAATTTTCTTGTAGCTCGACGGACAGCTAACTGAAACTTTTTCATTTGGTGTTTTATTGACTTATGCTTTAGTGCACCAACTTTCTAGGTAATTTAACAAATGAGCAACTTTTCCACGCCGTATGTATAGCAAATGGGACCCTGCCGGGACCAAAATGAAAGGTATACAGTCAATCTGAGAAGTGCTCAGTACGACTTACCGGAACGACCGAAAATGTGGTCTTCTAGCATAGGAGTTGCGACAAGTTGAACCTGTCGTCCACAGGGCGCTGTCAGGAGCACAAAAAACTAAATGTGAAGGCTGAGACAACAGCGCAAATAACTGGGTACTGGTATTAGCACCAACAATATAGAAGTGGTATATCCGACCAAAAATGTCGCTGTTAGGGAGTAAGCGGACGACGGGAGAACGTCCAGGAAAAAGAGCTGTTCTGCTATACTGTGATTGTTAGGCGCGCTATTTGGAAACATGCAAACGAAAACCGCAAATCAACAGCTGCCAAAAACCTTTAAGGCATCAAAAGATGCCGTAACACAGACGTGGTTGACTCAGTAGCCTTCAACGTAATAGTCTCGTTTGTCCTGCTGTACTAGGAGCCCTACTGAATGGCCAACTCGAAATTCTGTACCGAGCACCTTGTATGTGCTCAAAAACGAAATAAATGAGATTCCAGAAAGCATATTGAACACTCCGCACGTTGCAGACGCATTTGAAAATGTGCATTGTTGATGACCAGGCTTGGCATTTTCGGCGCGAAAAAAATACCCAACGCACAGAGCACCCAGTAATTAATCACACTATCTGAGATACTAACAAAGTCCTTTCTACATCAAATTGTGCACTGGAGTTTGAGTACCACTGAAGGACTGAACAGTCTCGTTATGTTCAGTCCATTAAGGTGGCCAGAAGAACCTAGAGATAGAAGATTAGTCCAACTCCTAATAAGACTATGAGTTAAGGAGGATTAGGATAAAAAGTCGGTAAAAATTGTTGTAATTTCGCTAAAATAATAAGAGGCATGATGTACAAAACATACCGTTCTCGTCGACCCGAAAAGCGAATCCGTTCTTGGCAAACACATCCAAATTGTTCAGCAGTAATTGTTCCTGTGCGACAGATAGTTCTAGAGCTTGTGGTCTGTTAGCCAAACCCTAATAAGGCTGTGAGTTAAGGAGGATTAGGATAAAAAGTCGGTAAAAATTGTTGTAATTTCGCTAAAATAATAAGAGGCATGATGTACAAAACATACCGTTCTCGTCGACCCGAAAAGCGAATCCGTTCTTGGCAAACACATCCAAATTGTTCAGCAGTAATTGTTCCTGTGCGACAGATAGTTCTAGAGCTTGTGGTCTGGAAATGGAACCAAAAATAAAAGTTCCCACAAACGAAAAACGACATGAGTGCTGTTCGAAATTATTCAGTAGTCCACGAACATTTCGGAAAATCAGATAGATATATGCTCCCAATTACAATTGGATTTTCTTACTTGAACACCAGTTTATACATAGGAGAAACACATTGCTCGTAGTGAGTTGGTGTACACAACCTATGTACAAGGCGTCCACTTGACCAGCCTCAAACAAAAAGCGAAACTGGTGGAGATTGTGAGACATATTCCTCAACGTTACGGAGAAGAGCTTCAATATCCTTGTTATCCGAACGACAACATCAAAGATGCAGCATTTGCGCCACGTGGATTATTATCGACCACAAACTCCACATGCAGACGAGTAACCTACGAAGACATCACTGTTCTCCCTAAGAATGTTATTCTGTGTTCAATGGGGGGGGGGGAAAGTTAATTTGAGTGCATTTAAGGATACAAGAGCTCGCGATAAAAACCACAGGTAAAATATACTCATTTGCAGATAAACTTGGTTCCCAAGGGAGACAGCTGAATCTCTCGTTTACGGTATTCTTCAGCAAAATGTGTTGCATAAAGAGCAACTCATTTTTCAGTCGCTACGATATTCAGGATATTGCAGTATAGTTCCATGAAGAAAAGTACTCATAAAGTTGATGAAAAGCCTTCGACAGCCCACGACCGCTTTCGACCTTCTTGGGGCTTATTAGGTAGGTGCAGTCCCAGAGTTTCTGCCAACCTTATGTTCTACTTGAACCCGAACTGCATTAAATTCGACAAATACATTCACTTGCACGCCAACTTGATTATCACGGGAAGCAGCATTGAATTTCAGTTGAACCTCTCCTTCAACTAGATGTGCTGCACAAAGACTGTGTTATGCATCTGTTAGTTCGGTATTGGGGATGTCAGAGTACATTGTTAAGATTGAACGGGTAGGTGTACTGTCCGAGTTTCGGCAACATTACGTTTTAATTACACGCCAAATCTCACGCAACTGGCGCAGTAAACTTATTTGCAAACTACTTTGGTGTTAATGGGAGACTTGAGTGGATCTCAGTGCCTGTTTGATGAGTCCCGATAAGAGCAAAAGCCGAACCTGGACCGCAGAAAATCTTTCGGCAATCTTATGAAAAATATACTGCAATATCTAAAATAACGTATCAACCGAAGCATGACGCGGCCCGGGTGCATCACACTCAGTTGAAGAACATCAGAAACGAGAGATTCAGCTAGGATTCAGTTGTCCCCTGTTAACCCTGAATCAATTTGCAAATAAGTGCATTTCGCCAGTTGCTTACAATGTGGTGCTCAAGTAGAACGTAGGGTTCACAGAACGTCGAGACTGTGCCTACCTGATGAGCCATAAGGAGGGTAAAACATTTTGTGGGCTATCGAAGGGCAAACTTACAAGTGATGCATTCCGCCAAGAAAACCACGGGCACTCTGTTCGTCAAAGAGACACTGAACTCACCGGAGAACACTGTAGCAGCAGCTAACGGAAACTTTCCAAAGGCACTATAGTTCACTGTACGATAGTATGATGTAGCGGTGGTTGATGCTCTACGAACTTCTATCGTTACACTAAGTTCCAAAGTTGGAAGACGGATGGTTACGAAGAAAGCTAAACAACATACGCACCTGAAATCATAGCGTCCATATATACTGGTGTAGTGGCATCACCTTACATAATGCAGATAATGAGATTCAGGCCGAATTAACAACATCTTGTAAGCCGGGAGGTAAGAACGAGTGTGACATTATAAAAACCGTACATAGTTCAAAAACACAGGGCGACGTTCTAAACTGAAAGGCGAAATGAGGAAATGGTGAGCAGGTTTCCGAGACGATAGGGTGAAGGGAAATTTGAAAGGCTACGTCATTGTGGTCTACCTTCCACGATGGGGGCCGTTTAGGCCTAATTACGCTTGGCCGACCTACCTGCGAAGTGAACTCGATCTGGATTGCATGGCCGGTTATTTGGAACGAAAACACATCGAAATAATTAATAATAATAAAAATTAACCCAAAGCCCTTACTCTTCCTCTCTATCACAGGAATTTTCTTGAAAGAATAAGCGAGATTTTGTGGCAATAAGTGGTACGCCTGCCAATCATGACAAAGAGCATTACTAACTTCAATTTGGATAAATTGGTCGTTGTCCAACATATCACATTTGGGCAAGGTGTGGAAATCAAGCGAAAAAAAGACACTTACGCGACTAATGGTTGACAGGTGAAGCGGTAATTTTCAAACAGTTGTTCGAACCGGTACTTTTCATCACTCGCGTGTTGATCAATAATGAATAAATCTTGTGCGTGGCGAGCCACAATAAAACCCAAATTAAACTGTCCCACAATTTGGAGCTCGTTGAAGGTAGCTTTACTGGAAATAAAAAAGTCGTAAATACTAATATTCGGATAATACGGGAAAACTTCGCAGATGGTTTTCAAAAGCTGCAAAATTGGAAAAGGTGACATCGCAGTGAACTACACCGATAAACAGGATTCGGTGCACCCTGCTTAATCAGCAAGCTCAGGTAAGCTAACGGCTACCAGGCTGTCGCTTTTTGTTAGCGATTTGACAATAAAAGCAGTTGTAGGTGTGTTGCAACTAAGTAACTGTGAGTAATTAAATCGCCGTGAACAATAAACTAATGAATCTGTTGGTCGGAGTAGCAACTCCGGCAGCCAGAAAAACAATGGTCGTTGCTTCCAAAAGAAAGGTAGGATATTAGAAAGACACAAATACAATTGCACGCTCCGTTTTGTCTAACTTGGTATAAATTTCATTGTATACCACCAGATCGTGACAAACAATGCACAAGTAGGCAAACATTATTTGATAAGTTTGAAGTTATATGCACTTTCCAAAGGAAGTCGTGATTGCGTTTCCCATTCATTTAACTCAATTATAGACATGCTGCTTCCTGAAAATCCTATCAGTCTGTCATTACCACAGTACTTACTCGAAGTAAGTAGACAGCTCTGATTCGGCTGTCTCACTTTCTGTAGAACGGAAGCTTCCCAAGGAAAACTCTCCATTTGAAACAAGATCGATGTCATCTAATGGATGTTGGTTTGCAACCTGGGTAACGGGTATGGGATGATTGATTTCCAAGGTTGACCAAGCGGCACGCAAATCAGACATGGAAAAATGCACAGAGGCCTGTTGACGACTGAGTGTTTCAGTCTATGGAAGAGGTGAAAGTAAAACACCGACTCAGAAATCTTTCATTGAGGGAAATAAGCGGGGCTCCTGAAAATCACGATACTCACCGTCGGTAGAAGGTCAACGATTTCGAAGGATTCACCCAAACCAGCTACACTGTTGGCGGACTTCGGTGGAGTTTTACGGGAGGCACACAGGGGTGTTGAGCGCTGATCCGTCAGATCAATTGTAGCGGCTATGAAATGAGACGAAATAGACACAAGTTCTCAAAATGACAAAGTTTACCTCGTTTACCCCATCGGTTGGAATCATCCACAAAAGAAGTTCGCTTGCGATTGCTTACCGAAAGAGTCGGCTAAATGAGTAAATGGAGAGAGAAATAATGCTGAGTACGTGAAGGATTGAGTGATTCATGTTCATTACAAAAGTGGAGCTGGTGAAAAACGATAAAAACCATCTCTAGATTATGTGTATTTAATTGCTCAAGCATCATGTTTTTTTGTTATCCACACAATCTTGTAGCCCTCTTTAGTTGAGAATTTTACTGAGAACCTAAAAAAACGGATTTACGTAATTGTTGCAGCGGAAGTGTCTGCCTCTGAGGAAACTGCCTTTGGTTGGTCCCATGAACCTCCTTTTACCTTTCAAAGAGTCACTTCCGGTGAGTTCACACATGGGGGAACTTTAGTTGGAACGATGGAAATTGATTCTGCATTAGATTTGCAGTACGCTAACACTTGAGCGGGAGGAATAGACCAATTCGTTCTCAAGTCATTTACGATTGGACGTTCCAGTCAAACGCTGCTTATTCCACGACTGACCAGATCAGAAGTTGCATGCGCGACAAAGTTCGAACGAGATCGAGGGAATAGGAATTGTTACACTGAAATTCACAATACTATACAGGAGTGATTAACTTGTCAGCACAAAGGTGACGATCATAGTCTAGCCAATAATACCAAATTCGTTCCGATCAGCGTCCATGCATGAGCAGACCTCTTTCATTTGATCTCAGTTATTTGTAGCCGGTCCAGAAATAAGCGAAAATCACTACAAACAAAACGGCCGATAGGTTATCTATAACACGGAAAAACGGCGGACAGTGGATGCTCTTTAAAAAAATTGAATGATTTTGTTTCCAACTGAATGCCAAGCCATCCGTGATTACGCAGTTGCGATATTCCACCTCCAACGTGAACGGTTCAACAAAGTGATGGAAATAAACGCTCACTATTTCGTTGGCTATCATATATAGTTACATGATCGGTGCCAGCCAGAACCTTGACGATACGGTTTTCTGATGCGGTGGTCTTCAGAGCTACTGTAGATATCGGTCGATGGTGAGAAGCGATGGACAGAAAAATACTTGGATGAGTTTCCCAAATTCAACTGGGTCTTCTGACCCAGCGAAATACCCAAGAAATCACTCTATTTCCTCGATAGCGACTGCTGGTCCTTGGTTGGAACAAATAACGAAGAAAAAACAGAAAACCTTGCTAATGCGGCGCTGTGCTCCACTATTCATCTACGGGGACGTCATATTTTATGACTGTCCCTCCACTGCACCTAAATTTATTCAAAAAATGACGTGCGGGCCACGAAATGATTATAGTTAATTAGTTAGATGTAACGGTCATTGTTTCGAAATTTTCGAACCAAGAAGTCGTTCTGATACTAAACGCAAAAACCAGTGATCTCTCAAAACGCTGAGTCCGAAAGGTTACTCCAATATAGAGGAAGTGAACACTCATAGTTACCGATGATAAGGTGCAGTGCTCTGGTTGACAGTCTGCGGGGATGACGATTACCGACTGGTCCAGAGTATTACAAGATTGTTGGACTGAAGCCAGATGAACGCTAGAGCTTCGGAACAGCGTCTGTATGAGGATGGCCTTGGTCAGCGCCAGCACATAACGTTCATGATGTAGAAGTAGAGTGCGTTTGTCCGGCGTCAAATTGATATCCACCGTACCTGAGCCAGCATCCGTAAAAAAAAACCAGTAAATGAACAGCACTCTCACAAAAAGCGATGCCTCCCACTAGATAATGTATGGTTCCCCCAGGTACATCATACTAATAAAATGTCCATCTGGTTTTTCCGAAGTACAAAAGTCAAGAGAGTACGGCTTTACTCTGTTCTACTCCGAAAATTAATCCAAGACATATAACACCACCACAGCAGATTGACAACTAACTCTGTTGAACTCCGACGTGGTGTGAGGATGATCGACTTGCAAGAGAATAGCAGTAAGCAAAGCCAGAAATGGACTTCGAAGAACATAAGCGTTAGCGCCTCAGAATATTCAGTTAGATGGATAGGAGCCTACAGTAAGAATTCTGCTGGCACCTGTTGCGCTGTTATATGGTTCCATTCAACCAACAACCATGGAAGGCGGGTTCAACTAGCAGTATCCAACTAGCAAGTTTCTTGTATTATTCTGTCAATCACTCTATTGCTAATCTCTTAAAAATGTCAGATAGAAAGTAACAGTATCCTCTGTAGACAGCGACCCGGTGTCTACAGCACATGAAGAGGCCATCGGTAAGAGATATAGCTCCCATACAGAATATTTATTACATCATCAAACACACTTCCTGTTGCACCATTGCAAGCCACTGACAAACGCCTGCGCAGGCTGCGGTTATGAGGTATCGGTGATCAAACATGTTGAGGAACCATGTCTCCCGGCTATATTTCAACACGGCAGGTAACGCGTCATCAAAATACGGCGGCGAGGCGCGTCGACAATGATGTTGTTGCGAATGATAGCTACTGCAACACCCCCAGAAGAAAAATTCTACAGCCAGCCAACAGAGAGCCACATACGGTCTTCAGCCCACCGTTGGCCATGAACAGTGCTCTACTGTGCATAAAAGCAAGATGAGGGCCACTATGATGAATCACCCATAGCTCCCATGCGGAGGGCTGAAAGGACAGAACCCATCTGGGGACTTTAGAGATACACACTGCTGATGACTCTAAAATAAATAAATTGAATAAATTTTAAGTGTCTCCACAACTGATGAATCTTCCACAATTCTCTGCTTCTACATCTATCTGACAACATGCAATAAGGACAGGTCTCAGTTCGCTAGAAAACGGGATAGCAGATGAAAGAGACCAATCAAATGAGGCTATCTTCGATTGTTGAAAATCAACACGATAAGTAAACAGCATCAAGTCGAGGCAGGGAAGTGGCTATAAATACTAGGTCGTTGGAAGGATTGGGTTGTTCGGAATATGTGCCATCGCTGGCGGATTTAGTGGTGATGGAACATGAGTAACCAACGAGTCTAGACAAAATAGCTCTCGAAAATGACTATTGATCGTAGACTTATCGGAAGGGGCAGGCAGAAGTGTCAGAAATGAGTGGACGTTCACGTGGTCTCCCTGTGTCACTATATACTTTTTTATCGTAACAATGCAGTTGCATCTAACCAATAAATTTTGTTCCACTGTGATAGTCTTCTGCACCTTACATATTACAGCTCTGATTACAGCAACTGGATCAGAATATAGTTTATACCTTTCGAAAAGACTGTATGCAATAATGGTGAGACCATAGGTGAGTTTCATTGATCGTCTAGAATAGGAATCACGAAACTGAGGCCCACTTAGTACCAAAGCTGAGCGGTCTACTTTCTCCGCAAAAATAGGTTTTACCAGGCAAGCTAGTGCTTTTTAGAAGAAAGCAAACAGGAAAGTAGTAAGTGGCCTGTTTGAACTAACAAATGGCTAACCAGTAGTTTTGATTGAACAGTAGGTCCTCTGAGGTACTTGTATAACGACAAAGAGGAAGGTGAATGTTAGCATGAATTTTACCACTAGCGTGGTAAATTTTTACACTAGCGTACACGCGAATAGCGTACGTGCACATCCTCGTATGATCACGTATCACGTCACAAATACACAACATGTAATCATACTTAACTCACCGGTTTCGAAAGATTGTTCATTCAGTGTAACTAATCACGTCTGTGATTGGCCTATGCTCTCGATGTCACGATTATTTATGCTATACCGCAGACTCTGTTTTTCTCACCAAGCAGTAAGTTTCAATGTTTTTTTGCCTTCATTTCTTCAGAGAATGCTAGCGTATTTACACCGTTTCCGTGGTTGACACGTTTCGTTGACACCTTCAGATCCATTTCTTCATTCTCTTTCATACTGTGGAACTTTTTCGGTGTTTGAATTTCACTGCTATTTCGAGTTCGTAACTATCATGTGACCGGTCAGGCCACATTTGATGTGGGAATAAGTTTGTTATGCAACCGTTCTGCCCTTAGTAGTACATAAATTTCTGTCTCGTAATCGAAACCACCCCATGGATTCACGCATCCGATAAGGGCTCACAAGGGAGATATAAGACCTCACGATACAATCGAAATGGATGTGACGACTGGAATTGGAAATTAGAACCCTAACTTCAATCGATATTGATATGTTCATCGAGATCGGTAATTGGCTTGCAAAAGTTTCACAAATGGTTGGTATGCTCGAAAAACTTCGTTGGTACTCAATGATGTTTTCTGAGTAAGCTGACGTGTCATGCAACCATCGACACTTTTTGAACCAACTCATGAGGCGAGATTACGAGAGAACCGTATCGGGAAACGATTCGGATGAACCACAGGAATCCGGGTTTGGTTGAAGCTTATAGTGGAGTCGATTCAGTTGCGTGGTGGTTGACAAGGAGACATATGGTTTGAGGACAAACTGCATGCTGTTTAGAAATGTATCGTTACACATTGTACCCTACACTGTGTGGAACCAGTTTGCACGCGGCCTTCACTGTGGAACCAGTCGCCCTCATGATGAGGTTCATCCAATGCCATGAACCTCGTTACAATCAATTTCAAGATTCCACGAAGAAAGTGGTCCTGATTCCGTAGTACTGCCTTATCACTTAATTTCGGTGGCTCACCTCCTGCAAATTTTGAAGTGAAAAAGAAATGCTTCCGGCAGAACACAAAAGGGAGGAGCACACTGTAAGATCTTGTACGATTGCCCAACTAGGGTTCTTGAACCTGGAGAACGAAATTTCACCAGCAATTTGTACAACACCATGAAAATGTTTCAAAGAATAATGGTGTATCTTGAAGCATAGCTGAAATTTGGGAACCTACCCCGAGAGGCTATTGGAGAAGGCAATCTACCAATGAGAAAAGGGTTCAAAGAGCAATTTGAGTAGCCTTTTCAGACTTGGACGGAATACCAGATATTTAAAAGCTTTACAAGATTCAGGAACATAATATGAAAAACATTTCAAGTGAATTGGCTGGTAGCAGGCTGCGATTTAACTTAAAATGACAAACTGCATTTGAGCCGCATGAAGAAACATCTGAGGTAACCTTGAAGGTGAAGATCGATCGAAGCCTACGTTTAGCAGGGCCTGGTATGCTGAAAGGCCCGCAGTTTGAAAGTGCGGTTTGGCTGGCGTGGCTACACCACAGAACGCGAAATCGAAAATTCGGACAAGACAAATATATCGGTTTGACGGTCCAACGGCCGTGATGACAATGAAAAAAATCGTTCAAATCCAGCGCGCTTTCGGTGCCCGGCTGCCACGCAGCCCAAAGCCCAAGCCTAGACGCGAGCAGTGGAGATACCAAGGAAGGGTTCAAACGACGGAACTTCCGGTTAGTAAGTTCACGCCTTATCCGCTGAGCCATCTCGAGCCGAGGCCTTGACGTTACGTACGATACGCGGAATAAAGTGGCAGCCAAGTGAAAAAGAGAGAACAACCATGGCCATCACAGAAACACAGTAAGTCATAATAAACAAATCACCTGCAGAAAGTCTGAAAGCTGAAGCCATGACCTATTGAACTCACCTGTTGGCATCTGCAACATTAAGACGAAAAACGGAAAGGCAGTGGAAGCGTTGGAAGCAGGCATTTGGAGACCGTCGTTAGAAACAGCCAGAGCTTCCTTGGAACATCGTCGCCAGACATCCGTGACCAAGCGAGCAACACGCGGTAATTCGCACGGACGTCCATTTACATAGATGAATTGTCGGTCAGATGTGGAACGAGCACCAGAAGCAGCTCGACCTCTGGAAGAACCAGAGGGTGACGAAGTATCTGCCGACTGGAGTGTCGAGGGTTTCGTAATGAAGCCACTTATGCTGTTGTGCAATGAGAAAGAGTAATATAGCATAGTGCTTTCCCAACTAACATCAAGGTTGCTTGAAGATGCTTAAAGTCATGATATGGGGGAAAGTTTACAGAATAATGGGATAGGTGATGAGGAATAAAGTGGTGGGATGAAACTATCAGACCGCTGTTCCAGAACGGTGGGTGAACAGATCAGAAGAACAGAGATACTCAGTAAGCAAAGAAGGACAAATTTCGGAGACGAAAAATAAGAGCACACCACTAAATAACAACCATCTGAAAAAGCCCAACAATGATGAGCAACGACTGGTTGAAACAGAAGGCTTTTCATCAAACCATGGACAAGGGTGATCGGTACACAGGAACTGGAGATATGAACGGAAACAATCATCCCACCTCTCCATTGGGGCATCAGGTCATCGAAGAAACGGATAATTACGGATTGCGCTACGGTTGTGAATCCGGTCGGCATGCAAATGACCGTGTGTACGAAGGATCGTGTCTCATCACTATGATATGTCTGCTGCACCTCAATGGTATGCATGAACTTCAGAGATTCTCTTTGTCTTAATAAATTCCTCTAGGAGTCCGGAAATGTGCAATAGGCTCTAAAGCTACTCGCACAATTTCCCTCGTAATTGAACTAGATTGTTATGGTTATTAATCAGCTTTAACAACCATCGGAGGCCTGTCACAACCACTATCGATGACAAGGAATTATGGGCGGTTCGGACTAGCAATCCACCCTCCAAAAACACTTCAGCGTCCCTAATTAGTTGGACGTAATGGGGAACCTGGGGTTTTAGAAACTGCTGCTGTATTTTTTTTCTGAGCTGTTCAAACGGTCTAATGCTGAGAGTGGCTAACGGCTCGTGGTCAATGGCGTGTTTCAACATGAGAAGAATTCTCACTGTTATATCTGCCATATCTCATACCCTAAATTTTAGATCAGAAAGCTGTAGCTTTGGGGAAATCACTAAAAATGGATTTGCCTTCACTGGCGTGTTCAACATGAGAAAATTCTCACTGTTATATCTGCCATATCTCATACCCTAAATTTTAGATCAGAAAGCTGTAGCTTTGGGGAAATCACTAAAAATGGATTTGCCTTCCGAATCATACCTTTCCGGTATGCCTTCCAACAAATACCAACAAGACAGAGCAGCCCCCTGAACAAGCAATGCCCTAGAGCCGCTTGTTTGTTTTCAGGGTGGGTAGCGCTACTTGCTGAGAAGACTACAAAACTCACAGTTAAACTGTACCTTCGAAGTGGGTCTCAGCTATTTGTTAAGGATAGGCTTACATTTATTAACGCACTACACCTACCCTAAATGTACACGTGGTATCCTCCCAAAAGGTTTGCCTCAGAGATTCGGATTGCGTGTCAGCTGCAAACGTACCGTTAGTCTGCCACAGAAAAGTGCAACACCTATGCCGACACCAACACGTTAAAGACCTCAGAGACGGTTAGATTGTGTCGGCAGTTTTACGACACTCTGTGCGCCTTTTAGCAGTGGGCTAAGGACTCAGGCACTGTTCTGGTTGCCGTGAATATGAATGGGTAAGTAGGTGGAGTTAGCAGTGCTGAGTCTCAATTGGGTTGTTGTCTACGACTGGAATCGGGACTCACAGACAAGGATGAATGCCCGCTGCAGCTATGTGCTGACCAAAGATTGTTGCTGTGCAGTACTAGCCTCTGAAGCAACCAAAGCCGCTTGACCACATGGCACCCCAGCATAACCTCCAACACAGTCAGACCACATCACCATCAGTTTATTGGTGACGTCAGTCAAGTAATGACTGTCGCTTGTTCTGAAACACCTATGTGAGTTCGGATCACGCGCCTGTTCTTCGATGCTTCTAGTTTGCCTTTTAAGGTGCACGTAAGATGCGCACACATCGCCTGGCTATTGAGAAGCTCTCTGACCCTCATGTAAAGCAAGCCTGTCAAAACTACCTACCGAAATCCCTTTCAGACAAAACGTCTCCTCATGTTGAATCTTACTGGAAGGTACTGTCCGTAACTCTGCTAGATGCTAGGCGCTCCACTTGCCGATTGGTTCAACTAAGTAGGTTTAGGCACTGGATGTCGAGAAACACTGTGAAATTGCTCGACTCTCGGACACGCTTTCCTCCTGATCGAGAGTACAACGCCGTTCGACGAAATGTCAGACTCCAGGAGAAAAAGGGCATTTGCGTGGGTCAAGAAACCTGGTGAATCAAGAGAGCTGAGAAGCTGTGAATGTGCATGAAATGTTTAAGATGACACCCAAAAAGCCTTCGTGAGCGAAATAAACACTGATAAAACCGGGTCGGTTATATGTAAACAAGAAAAGCGCATTAATCGTTGGACTGGACAACTTTGAGACCAACTGAGCTGGCCACCTGTAGTTGCTTAGCAGGATTCTCCACCCGCAACGCGGTCCTAGACAGTGAAATTAGAACCTTATAGGGCTTCGGAAAGCAGAGAATGCCTTTTGTCCCTCAGACGCAGCGAGCTGCTCCCCTTGTTCAAAGATGCGGGTGAAACACCCAGTCTATCTAAATTACCTCCATCCGCCCAAAGAAATGGGGTAATATTGATGGCCATTTTCAAATTCGTGCTCGCATTGAGTGTAGTAGTCGCAGGAATTTCCTGGACTCGTATCCAGACTCTTTGCGTCGTTTTTTATGTCATGTTAGTGAAGAGCGAATACGATGCCCGACAACGGCAAGCAGGATTCTGGACTAGAAGGGCTGTGTGGACCACATCTTCAAGCTCCGTGTGTGTTTGTGCAATGGCGTGGGTGCAGTTGCCCAACAGCCTTGATGTTCCATGAATTCAAACGTGTTTTGCTCAGTCCACCGATTATTTCTTTTTAACAGGCTTGCGAAACAGGGTACGTCCCAAATAAAAAGTCGTTCAGCATCCTCTCGGCGTCTAACTGCCATGCCACCAGAAGGAAGCACGAGGGCTGGGATACTACCAGGGGAAGTCGGAGAGGCAGGCGCAGGTTCAAACCAATGACCTTCCAGCTAGTAAATTTGCGCCCTAACCACCGAGCCATTTCGCCTCATGGCCCAGAAGTTCGTGAATATAATGCACTTTTCGTATTCACATACTTGTTGGCGTGTCAGTGTATGGAAAGCTTCCCAATTCTCTTCCAGTTCGGAGTAGAGGCGGACAGAATTTGACGTGGAAGGATGTTACGAGGGGTTCAAACGCTGTTGGCGCTGTTTGCTTCTGTCCAGGTGCTTGGCTGCAGACATTTAACGATATGGTGGCTAACAGATGTTAGTAGTAGTAGATGTCGTTATGAGTGAATGGGGGTGCATGCACCTCAGGTGTTTGTAATAGGCTACCTCTTGGACCGTCCGTATTCCATTTCTTCCTTCTTTACATTACAAGGCCTAAGTCAACCAAATTGAGATGCAATTTTGGGGTTTCGCGGGATAGGTATGTTTGTTCATAGCCACACCACTCTCGTTTGAACGGCCGTATTCCTGTTCTGGCGTAATTATTCCAGTGAGTCCACACCAAAGGGAAGCACTGGACTCGA